AAATCGATTTTGCCAGTGAAAGTTTATTACGTGTTGATGAATGTTTACAATTCTTTTTTCTGCTTTTTTAAAAAACGTGTTTCGCTAAGAGGAGGCCGAGCTCAGCTGGGGCGGCTTATCTGGGTCAGGGCGGGTTTCCGCTCCAGTTTCACCTTTCTGGGACCGGACCCTTTCCGACCCGTGCACTTTATGGCCGGCGGGGGTCATTGCCACCTCAACTGATAGACAACCATTAGACAGCTCCATTATTAAACCACCGTTCGCCATACTGTATCCAAAGCTGCCCCTGTCTCCCGACAGTCCTCCTCACTGCTCTCATCAGGCCACACTTCAAAGCTCTGAGAGGTGTAGACCCGGCCCAGCTTCAAACGAACATCAGACGCAGCCCACAACGACGAGGATGCGGAGCCAAGAAACTGATAAACAGTATGGATGGATAGCAGGGAACAAGGAAACATAGCAGCGAGCCTGTCCTCCGAGAGGGGGAAAAGCTGCTGGGTCAGCACATCCTCTAATGGTTAAGGCTGGTTCAGAACATTCCCGATACAAGTCCCAGAGCCCGCACATTTTTTTTTTACAAAACTGGAGGGAAGCTTTGGGAGGCTCCGGGGCATGAAGCTGCTGCAGAAGTGCGTTTTCTAATTCCCAACATGAGCTGCAACACAAGCTGCGGCATCCAGGAAGTTTTTTTGTTAAAAAACACAAATCCGCATAGGAAAGCTCAATACAGCGGTAAGGTGAAAACCTCGTACAGCTAGAAAACGTCCGCTCTATAGGATCTAAGAAAACAAAACTGGGGTTTGAGCAGATCAGAGTGTCACGTTTGTCTGAAAAAATAAATAAATAAAAAGCTAGAAGAAAAAGGAGTTACAAGACTTTTGCATGGCTACAATGACATTCTGCTTCATGAATTCATGGGAAAATCCACGATAAGCAGCACTCCGGCCTCACTACACCCATTACGCAGTATTTTACAATTACACGGGCTGTAAGCGTGTCCCATTTGACTGTTTCATTGACTGTAGATTTCTCCTCTTTTCCTCTAGAGCCCCCTGACCCTGGGCTGAGTGACACGGAGGAGATGCTTATCCAGCACCAATCCCCGCTCATCACTCTCCCGTCACGGCCCACACACAACCACGACAACCCCCCCCCAGTCTCCGCAGAGCTCAACAAGGCAACCGAAATGGACATCTTGTGGCCAGAGACGTGGTTTCCAAGGCAACAGGGAAATAAGCCATGTGCTAATGTCCCAGCCAGTTTCAAATTAAGGACACCTTCACAGGATATAAAGCACGCACGCGTGAACCGAAGCACAATGCGGCGCCTGAGAGGTTTGCATTAACCTCCGCTGCACCAAGCTGCAAACTGTTGGAGAAAAGAAAAAAAAGCTCCTCCTCGATCGATAAATCACTCAGTCATTCAGTGTCAGACACACACACACACACACACACTCACACACACACACACAGGCGCGCTTCGGTTTGCGGCCCGGTTTGATCGGGGGCTTCGGGGGCAGGGTTTTTCACTTTTCCCAGCGATGGCACACAAAATGTCTGTGGCCATCTGACGAACAGAAGCTCTTCATTTCCTCGTAACGCCAGCCAACGGCGCGTTAAAAAAAATAAATAAAAAAAACCCCACCGCCATCAAATCCGCCTCAGACCAACACGAGGGCGATAAATGCGGCCCCCTGACCGCCAAACATCCCAGAGCCGGGGCATAATGAAGCACTGTGAGAGGGGGCTGTGGGGGGGGGGGGCGGGGGGGGGGAAGAGGGAGGCGGGAGGGGGGGGGGCTTGGTGGCACAGTGGCACACTAAACGCCGCTGCGTTTAACCGGATCACAACAGCCATCATGTAAAGAGACGAGCGCCGGGATCTCGTGGGCGGCCCTGAAGGCCACGTGAAAGACACCATCCAGAACCTTCCGTATGAATTACACCCCAGTTTGATGTTCCGGGCCTCTGCAACGGGAAGAAAATTAGCACTGGTGCCTTAGCACATGCATCATTGACACCGTAGGCATCCATAATACATTGAGCCCGGCTATTGCTTCAATGCTATTTTTAAAAGGGGGGTGACAGAGAAAAAAAATGAAGCACACGGCGCTCGCGCCGGCGGGGAAGAGGTGGAGGTGCGTGCACGTCGTCGGGCCCCCGGGACCAGCGGGGATGTGGCCACGGGGGGCCGCAGATTGAACCAGGGACTATTTTCTCGTAGGGCATGAGGCCGGATGGCTTCATGCGCGTCGTTACGACTGAAAGTCAACTCGCCATCGAGGCGATTAAGCACAAATATGCGGCCATCGAAAAAGCGCATTAAAAATCACTTAAGCTTTGCCAACAGGTGCTGCTCTCCTGCGTGGCTAAGGGAGGGTGAAACAATGAAAGGAAAATGGCACAATTCACCACGCTAACCTTGAGTAGCAGGCAGAAGGTGAGAGAAAAACAAACGCCGGCGCTAGACTTGAACTTTGACCCCTCGGTTTGTTGTGGCTGAAGGCTAAAAAGAAGCTCGGAATACTCGGTGAAAAGCCGAGGTTTTGTCTGACTGAACGGACCTTTTTCTCAGCTGGGTTTATGCCAATATAAAGAGAAAGGGAGAAACAGAAAGGGGGGCGGAGAGGGGGGGGGGGGGGGTCCTTAAGCGAAAGTGTCAGTGAGAGGATGGTAAAAGTAGCCCAGAACTGAGGAAGACAGACAAAGCTGGTTTAAACCGGGGATTTAAAATGGAGGCCAGACCACCCCTCCTCCCTCTCAACCCTTCTTACACAATCCAGCCTACAGAAGCCCACCTCAACACGCACACACACACTCACACAGAAACGCACACACACACACAAGGAGCTGAACTGTGTCGTTTGCCATAAACAGCTCCACAAGTCCTGATTTGTTTGCCTTTACACAAAGCCACAACCAAACAGGCAAACGGACACGCGCCGTCCCCAAAACCGCCCCGCGTTCTGGTGGTTTCTCACCCGCTCCCTGAACGAGCGGGTCTCTCCCTGCGCGGTAAACACAGCATTTCCATTAGATTGTCGGGAGCCCGTTGGCTGCTCTGTGACTCAGAGACTGCAGCACGGTGACTGCGAGTCTCCGGCTCAACCTCCAGCTCTCTCTCTCTCTCTCTCTCACATCCAGCCTCAATAACATGGCCTCTGGTTTGCGCCACTTCCCAGGTGCCATGAGGGGCTACACAACCCCTTTCCAAAGCGATGAGCTACTACCAGCAGGGTTTTGGAGGGGTGTCTGAGGAGTTAGGGGCTAAATGGCTTTTGTAACAGTCCTTGCTTTTAGCCGGTGATGTGCACAAAAAAACGGCATGCAGCGACACACCGGCGTGCCCCGCATGACGGTTTCTGTTATTTGCACACACAGAGGCAGATGAATATGTAAATAACCTGCGAGGGGAATATGGATCCCCTTGTGCTCGGGGAGGATATGTTAATGAGCGAGGCGAGGTATGAGTGTTAATCACAAGCGTGAGGTGCAGAAATGTGTGTGTTCGGTGATGCCGTGGGGTCGATGCAAATCGGGGAGATGGGGGGGATAGTGGCATGTAAATGGCATGATTCACAGACAGGGTGAGATGCATTTGCTAGCCCCCCTAAAACAACAACATGAAAAAAGAAAACAAAAAATCATTGGGGATCATTATGGTGGAAAAGCAACCGGCTTAAAAAAAGGGGAAAATCTCCGCTAAAGTTCTGCTCTCGTCTGTTTAGCATTCAAAACCCAAATCAAGACGCTGTGATAAGGGCTGTCGCAGCAGCAACAGTTGCCAGGGAAACCTGATGGCAGGATGCTGAAGGTTGGGGAGGTGGAGGAGGAGGAGGAGGAGGGGGGGGGAGGGGGGGGGGGGGGGGGGGGGAGTTAATGTGAGAGCATGGCTACAATGCTTAGGTTGATTTGCTACCACTGAAGGAACATCGGCCGACTCCTTGAGATACGGCACATCAGCGGAGCGGCGAGGGCTGACAGGGGGCCGCGGGGGGGCCCTGCGAGACGCTGATGGTGACGCCGCTTGGTGCATTAGTCTGAGTGTGTAGTCATGGCAACGAGGCGTTGACACAGCGCAATCGCACTCTGAGCACTGTGACGGTGATGACATTCACAAAAGTACACCGCCAGTATGTGTGTGCGTGTGTGTGTGTGTGTGTGTGTGTGTGTGTGTGTGTGTGTGTGTGTGTGTGTGTGAGCTTGTAAACCAGAGCGGGGCCCCTTCCTGCCCCCCCCCGCCCAGAAAGAGGACCGATGCTGACCATTTCACATTCGCTACGTCTTGTCTCAAGAGGAGCCATGGGGATACAAAGAGTGATACTACAATTAAAATAGATCAGAACATAATGGGGGGGGGGCACCAAATTTCACAGACTTCAACTGCCGTTATATGTGCCAGGTTTTTTTTAATGTTCAAAATGACCTCTGCTAACAGAACATCTCTCATAATTATAACCAGTGTAATTAGCTAATTATAATAACAATAACAATATTACAACAAAGATAACACGTGATTTGAAAATGAAACAAAAATAATCAAACTAGATAAAAACCAAAAAATGAAAAACACTTATCGTAATAGTTTTTTTTTTAAAAGAGATCTATAAGGTTCTATATTTTTTTTAATTTAAATGTCCTTTTTTTAAAAAAAACAAAAAACAAATGCCACCCACCAGTGTCTGCTGTTCTTCCTCACCCAACAAAGCGTCGCTTACCTTTAAAAACGCTCGGCAATGCCGGTCATCCGTTTAGCTCCCTGCTGCCATGAAATCCGCTCATACACGATAACACTGAGATACAGTTGTGAAATAATCCTCTGCAAAGGTGCAGTCTTCGCCATATGTTCATGTTCTGTCTTTAATGCCTGATAACACAAAGGTCCCTGACTGCTTGAGACATCAGAGGAGTCGGTGAGGGCTGGACTTGAGGAAGCCATTTTGAGGGGCCGGGTTATTTCCTGTCGATGCTTGTGGAGTTCTTTTAGAGGAACTTTGAGTCCGTCCCGCCGCTGTTTGTTAGTCTGACGGGATCAGTCTTAACATCAGTGTCATATACAAATGAAAAAAAATGACTTCTCGGTTCTCTGTAGGCACTAATAGTAACAATAATTGTCACATGAATGATAATAATGATAACAATTAACGATATAATGTCATATTATCATTGCGATCTTAAATCATGAGCTGAATCGGAATGATTCAGGAGTTTTAGATTTTAAAAAGCATGTGCAACACTTGAACAAGTTCAAATTCTTCTAACATACAGTTGATAATTGAATGACAATAATGACAAAAAGGCTAAGTTTTGTTATCATTATTACTATTATGATAATAATTATTCGTACTACAGTGCCACTGTAACAAAACTTGACCAGCTGTACTCACATGTCATACTTTCCCTGCAGGGCATGAAGACGGTAACCCCTCAAACCACTCTGTTCGAGGGGAAAGAGAGGAGAAACATTGTGTGGCTACAAAAAAGCTGAGACCCAAAATAAACGTCCCAAAACACGGGTTTCTGTTGCCCCTCTCCTGCAACGGTCCGCAGTCAGGGTGGACGTTCTGTTCCCGGGTGGGGAAGGGCCACCAAAACAGCTGCGCGGGTGTGTGTTTTTTTGTTTTTTTTCTGTGTATTCTCCAGACGTCGTAGCTTTTAGTCAGAAGCTTGATAAAGATTTTTTATAATTTATTTCTTTGAATGAAAATATATTTACGATATATATAATATGTACGTTCAGTTCTTTTTATATTCCTCTTTGTCCTTTCTGCCATAGGATTTTTGCTTCTCCTATCAAAACGTACTCTGTTGCTTTCCTCCACTAAAGAAGACAGTAACTAGTAAAGTGTGAGAGGGGGGAAAAAAGTGTTTCACAATGTTTTTTTGAGGTGTTGATACTTTAAACAGCATTTCTGTTCTTATTACTGCACTTCTGTTTGCCGTCTTTGAGCGCTTCCTGGAAATCTGGGACTGTAACACCCTCACAAATCATCATTTGTTATTCCCTGCCATTGCCAACTGCTAATCCGACAAGTTCGTGGCCAACATTATCTCTCCCTCTAAATATATACACCAAATGCATCTGCGAGCATATGAAGCAATCTGCGTACGACCTAGAGGGGCTCTCTGCACCTGTGCTTTGTCCACTTTCGTCCACTCAGTTAGTTTGACGTTAGGCATCCGCAAAGACCACAGCAGGCTGCACGCAGTGGGTGACTTCTATCTTTGTGGTTTTAAAGTCGACTGTGTGCAAATGATATCCGGTGGGACTAGTGTACTGTCTCCTATAGTCTTCCAAACTGAACCTCTGTGTCAAAGGGTTGACATCACAAAACAGTGGCCGTGTCAGACTTAATCTTTTCTGAAACCCGTCCACGAGGACAGCAGGCCACAGTCAGTCTCAGACACTCTGCTTCACAGGGGCTTTCTGTATCACTGTCTCTATTCAGTGTCCCGTACCTCTGACATCCTTACTCTTACTCAGATCTGAGTCTCTTGCACGTTTTCCTTCGAGCCACTCTTGAAAAGAAGTGGCTCATTCTGGCCTTTTCCTTTTAAGCCTTTCAGAGAACTGTGAAGGCCCAGCTGGGGCAGGGGTACAGGTGAGGGCAGGGTGCCACCTGCAGGCGTTCCCCCACAGGTGGTGGTCGAAACCTGGGAGCAGGATATGGTCTGTGTTTGGGAGCACGGGGAGGGGTTGTTGTTGTTGTTGAGGCCCATGCCTGAACCCGTGCCCATGCCCAGGGTCATCATGTTGTTGCTGAAGTGGTGGGTTTTGTAGTAGTGGTTGAGGTGCTCCGATCGAGCCAGGTTCGGTAAGTTGACTATTTCCGGGTGGTGCAGCCTTAAGCTCTGGCCTCCTCCTATTCCACTGCTTCCACCCTGCGTCACCGTGGAGCCTCCGGAGATGCCAGTGCCCCGGCCTCCCGCTCCTGGCCCCAGCTCGTCATCCACGTTGATGATCTCGATGGCGCGAGCGGGGCCGTGATGTTTGTGCAGCTGGTGCTGCTTCCTCAGCTTGTAGAACACCACCAGCATCACCGCCGCCATGAAGGTGATGGCTACGAAGCAGCCGATGATGATCTTGGTGGTCTTCATCACGTCGTCCAGGCCGGAGAAGCCCGGCTCGGTGATTGGCACAGTGAACGTGGGTCGAGTGGCCCGGGGGGAGGAGGAGGAGCCTCCCGCGGGCAGGGAGGAGTCTGTGGTAGGAACCCCGTCCGGCCAGAGGTCAGAAGGAGTGGGGCCAGGATGAACCCGGATGAAGGTCTCATTGATGGCGACCAATGCATATTCGTTTCCTCCTGCGGAATCCACTGTTTCCACGGTCACCGTGGTGAAGTAGGTGTAGTTGACGCTGGCGTCGGCGGCGGTGACGTTGAGGACGGCCGTCGCCGTGGTGTTGCCGGCGGCATTCGTGACCATGCACGTGTACTGGCCCGTGTCCCGCAGGGTGACGTTCGTGAAGTTGAGCGTGCCGTCGTGCAGGACGGAGATGCGCACCCGGTAGGACCCGTGGGTCATCAGCGTGCCGTTGGGCGTGATCCAGTTGACCGACGTCGTTGACGTGCTCGTGCGACACTTCAGCTCGGCGGCCATGCCTTCGGTGACGTTGAGGTCGGTGGGCGGCTCCACGATGACGGGTGCGAAGCAGGTAAAGTGCCTCTGGTCAAGCTCCCCGATGTACTTGCCTTTCAGGCCCGGGGGAGCGTGGCAACGAGCGCAGCAGGTGGTGTTGCTGGGCACCGTCTCTTTCAACCACCAGCTAAGCCAAAGCACATCACAGTTGCAGACCCAGGGGTTGTGGTTAAGATGCACCCTCTCCAGCTGGTGGAGGGGCGTGAAGAGATCATGGGGTAGAGAGTGCAGGGAATTGTGGGAAAGGTTTAACTCCTCCAGGTTTTTCAGGTCATCGAAGGCATTGCGCTCAATGACGGACACCTGCGAGTGCATCAGCCACAACTTGCGAAGAGAAGCCAGTCCCTGAAAAGAACCCGGACGGATGATCTCCAGTCGGTTTCCCGACAGCTCCAGCTCTTCCAAACGGACCAGCGCCGTTAGTTTAGGGATGTCTTTCAGCCCACACATGCCCAGGTTCAGGTACCGCAGATTGATGAGGCCCACAAAGGCAGCATCGGAGATGAAATCCAACTTCTTGAGCTCACCCAGGTCCAGTCGACGAAGCGAGGGCACACGGTGGAAGGCATAGCCTGGCAAAGTCTCAATGGGGTTGTTGCGCAGCCACAGCTCCCGCAGCTTACTGAGGTACTCAAAGGCATGTGATGGCACCAGTGTGAGGCGGTTGTCGAAGAGTTCCAGTGTGTTGAGGTTGGGGAGGCCATTGAATGCTCCAACTTCAATCTGTCGTATCTGATTCTTGGAGAGCTGGAGGATTTCAAGGTGCCTCAAGTGCTTGAAAGTGTCCGACTTGATCACCTGCAGGAACAAACAATGACAAAATGATCATAAATAAATAATAACAGACATGGAAATCTAGTTTAAAAGGTAAGAAGAAATCAGGTGTGCTTTGCCAAGCCAGTAACCAGCTAAAATACATTTTCTTCCATGTTTCTGCACATCACAGACACACAGTCTAAGTGTTTCAGTCAATGCATGATGCATGTGCTTTTGTGATGAGGTCTGAGACACAGACATTTGCAGACACTTCCCTTTCCGACAGCAGATTGTTGTATAAGAGCCCTTACACTGCCCGTGTCTTTCTTGTCTTTTCCGTTCGAAACACACCATGAACACTGTTGAGAACTCTCTTTAACTGGACTTGCAGCTGGACGGGCAGTGTACAGATCACCGCGGCTCTTCAGTGTCTTCAATGAAACTCTGTAGTAAGTTGATAAGACTTTGTTTGTTCATTTCTGTTGCGCAGAGCCTGAATGATTAATAAAAGCTAAAAACAAAACAACCCATTTGATGTGTTAGTTCAAACTGAAACGCAGGTTTCTGAGTTGAAACACGCTGAGAACAGCCTCTAACGGAGCCTTAGCCGCTCGGGGTTGTAAAAAGTGAACTAATGATGACCTGACATTGATATTTCTTATGTTTTTCCATCTAGCTAAATAATATATAGACTCCTGCTCTTTTCTGCGTGGCTCTATCTCGCAGACTCATTTTGTATGTCAGAGTTAGCAGTTTAAGGTTGCCTCTGTGGTGTGTTCAAGTACAGTTTTCTCCCTGCGAGACTTCAGATGTGAGGAGACGCGGCGGGGGGGTTGATGTCTGCTGTCGCTGCTTGTTCTTCTCAGCGGATTGATGTATAAGAGCCCTACAGCACTGATTCATCATGAGCACTTTACACAAAAGTACAGCATGTCCCTTTAAACATATTTCAGCTGGGATGGACCAAGCCACACACGGGAAAAACCATCCCAACACACTCACCTCACCTTCCATACATCCATACTTACTTACAAATGTTTCTACTTACAAAATGCATTTTCTAATATTTAATTCATAATTGAATTTAATATTAATAATAAATTGTACATTGTGATGCAGTTCACTCTGCTTCTTTGTTTTGGTTCATTTTATTTGTTACAGGCATTCATTTTCTTCATTTAATTTGGCTAAACTGAAATTCTGCTTGGTTAGGTTATTAGATTGCATTGGCTTTTTTCTACTTTTAAGTATCTAAGTTAAGTTACTTAGTTACTTTTTTATCACATGAAGTTTGTTTTGTTTTTTGACCAAAAGAAATTCCTGTGTCGTCTTTACCAAAATAACCAGCACCTAACATTTGATTTGGCAGTATATGGTCTTTTATTTGTACATATTTCTAATAAAGTTGGGCAACGAAAAAACACTTTGCTTTCAAAACAGTAAAATTGTGAGTGTACAGAAGAACCGTAAACCAGTAAATCCATATTCATATAAAGTCAGTTGCATCCAGTGAAAGTAGCGATCAATAGTCTGTAAGAAGCAGAATGAAGGAAATCAAATATGTGCATTTACTATCTGTAGCGCAAATCAGAGGGGATCTGGACAAACACATGCCGCACAATACTATCTGAAAAATATGTGGGCATACTCTGTAAACCTGACAGCTGATGACAGGATTGGAAACACAGCTTCGGTTTTAATCTATTAACCCTCTAACATCCTGCTCGTTGTTTGGCAGAGCACAGTTTTCACTGATCACACTTAGTCATTGGATGAGCTAGAGGATGTGCGCATGCTTAAACTAGCTCTAAAATTAAGTTTAGGTATTTGATGACTGAATTTCTTTTTTAAGATTTCTAACTTTTACCATAAAGTGTCTCCCCAACTATTTGTGAAAAAGCATTGATTCTGGTGGTTGTAGGTCCAAAGATTTGGTAAAAAAGCAAATAAATATAGTTTTAAGGTTAAAGCAACAAACTCATTTTTAAATTTTTATACTTTTTCATGCCTAACTGTTATCATGATGTCTGTGTTGACAGTAATGAAGATGGTTGGAATGTGGTTTCTCCTCGTGTTTCTTAGTTTTTAAAATACAAAATCTGCATGTTAGGCTGGTAATTGCATTACATGAGTTACATAGATTCTGAAATCACCTCTTGTTTAATTATTGTATGAAGAACAGCTTTCCTAACAGTTTAATTTTTTAGTTATCATAGATTACTGGACGGCATGTCACCATAAACAAACATTCCATTCTAGAGCCAATATACCCCTTTTGAATGACAGATTATGTAATTTGCTAAACTTCCCACATGAAGGAGATACAAAATGTTTCCCACATGCGATTCACACGAGCAAATAGAACCGAGTCTATGACAAAATGAGTATTGTGCGTATGTTTTTTTAAATGTTCAAACCTTGATTTAGCTGAGCCTGGGTCTCGGGCTGTCGATGGCAATTCATTTATTTTAAATACGTGTAGTCTCAGGTAGTTTCATGTCATTTTGTGATTGTCCAGGAACTGAAGCTCATCTTCAGAGGGTGTGTCGGCTGAGCAGAAAAGCGGCTTTGCGCCCTAAAAGGAGGGGATTTAGCTTTGCTCCCATTTCATCATGGCCTCTCTACTGTAATTGAACCCCTGTTGACCGTTTTCATCCTGATTGCTGCGACGGCGTGCCCGGGCAGGGCATTCATCAGGCCAGCACACACTAGCTTGACCTTTTGTGCGGTGCATGTGCAAAAGGGCAGGCTTTGCTCGGCGCTAACGCAGCAACAACGTCACGGCGGATGAAGCTCAGCCGCAGCCCGGGGAGCAACGCCACGGCCCGACGCAAGCAAACACCCACCGCCGACTTACTTACTGATGAAACCTGTCACCCTAATTGTGATTTATGCAAGAGGAGAGTCGGTGACTCTCCGCTCAACAATGTCTAAGACTCTGAATCTGCATATTCGCATGAATGATGAATGGATTATATCTAACATGTGAATAACTCCATAAACATCATTGTCAGAGTGAGCTGTGATGGACTAGTGACCCGTCCAGGATGACCCTGAGGGACTTTAGCCTTTTTAAGCCTGATCTTGGTATCATATGTATCATTCGTCTGTGTTGAATCAAGTTTTCCAAACAGTTTAATTGTGTATTTGTAATAGTTGTAATTAAGATTTTTTTCTGTTTGAAAGGATGTGTCTGAAATGTGGGCTTTTTTCCTCCAAAGTAGCTCCTCCAGCATTGATAAATCTCGATACTGAAGTAAAGCACGAATGAACGACTTCAACAGGAGGAAGTCCCTGATAACTTGTTTTAAAGATTTAAATCAGATAGTTTCATCTCACAGAATGTGCTGCAAAGCCACAAAGAGGAGGCCATTGTATCCCGTCAAACACTGTCAATAAAAAAAATTGGGACATAATTGGTGGTTGTGTCTGGACTCTTGCCTCCCTCTCCCGGCTCAGAGGCTAAACCACTTTGAACCCTACATCCAGACTCCATACCTTTCAAACAGAATGAGTCGCATTAAGAGTCAACAGCCCCACCCTGAACAGACAGTGTGAAAGGGCAAATAAATCAAGAGGAGAGAGAGGCGTTCAGGGGCAGGAATAAAGTTGTGAGAATTTGATCAGCTGCACGACGGAGCTCCAAGCCAACGTATCCCCCTTAAAAAATCCCTTTGTTTGCAGTTTTATTCTAAAAATCAGGTCTACTGGTGCCATTTATGAAATATCTTGGAATCCACCCAGCCTCATTTCTTCCTCTGACTTCATTACGCTGCTCTGAGTGCTGAGATTTCGACCAGAATTTCTGTGAAACTCACGGGGTTTAACTCCGGCTCATTGTAATCTCTTGCTAATAAGCCGATAATCAGTATCGAACTATTTACATAAAAGCGTTGCCACAAATCACTACGGACGACAAATCTAGGAAACAAAATCAATCCGCTGTTTCAAGTGTGTCAGAACTGAGCGGGGACAATTCTCTTTGACTAATTTTCCAAATGAACAGCCGGAAGACACGGGTTTTTCTGCAGGAAGACACGATTGTGGAAATCATGGCTGCCACAAGCCCTGGACAGCATTCACCAGCATTTGGTGGCGTCCAACTGGAGCTCATTTGGCGGGAAGTCAAAGACACACAGCAAGTGAGCACGACTAAAGGCCCCTTAAAACTCTGAATGTTTGAGATATGTGTGGCCAAAGCCCTCTGTGAGATGCACAGAGACTCCTGGAGTCAGGCCATTGCTTCCTCTGTATGTAGAGCAGAAGTGGGGGGGGGGGGGGGGGGG